GAGCACAATCTAAATCTCGATGAACCTATTGAATTCACCACACAGAAAAGAGTGATGAAACAATTTAGTGACCTAAAGAAACGTCAGCCCAGTCCAGACTACCTCTCTAGCCCCCACAAACAAAAAGGTAGTTATGTTGCGGTGCAAGAGTTTGACGAAGACATCATAGGACCTACAACAGACGAACTTAGCCTTGAAACACTGCAGGAACTCAAGCCGTCGGATATTGTGTTACTCGAACCTGAAAAACAAAAATATGTAGCTTATGATGTGGTCCGCGATGCTCCCATATCCACGAGCAAGGCCACTGACCACAGACCCTCAAGTGACCAGCAGAAACGGATTAAAGAACTCGAGTATGCTTTTGAACACCCGAAGATCGACGCCATTCCAGACTCAACGATCAGCAGACTCCTCTCGGTCACGCCACCAGGCGAGCGCGAAACCGAAAGAAGTATAAGACATCACCAGCAGGAGCGCCGCCACCATGCCATACGACACAACAACCCGGGGCGCACAGAAAAGAAAAACACAAACGGGGATCACAAGGAGAGGCAACAGTTCTTATTCCACCGCTTGTTGGAGAAACAGCGGCTTATCTCCCCAGAGGACTTGACATTCCTCTTAGGGAGTGACCAGGATGGCAGGGGAGATAAGAGGAACCAGGCACCAGTGGACGGCACTCTCACCACGACGGGAAAGCCTGGAGGACTGGGAGGAAGATTATGAGTATGATGCCTAATGGAACATTTTTCTTACAGATATTTTGGAAGAATTTACCTTTGGTAAATAATTTATATACAACGTATTCAGGCAGCTTTTTACAATGTGTAATTTTCCCTGATGTGACAAAATAGCCTTATGTAATTAAACATTTGATCTGACTGTACAGTGTAAAATAATAACATTTACAACGAAGCATTTAAGTGTTTGCATATACCAATAAAAATATTATCACAATACTAAATAATGACAATGAAATATATTAATCAAAAGCGAAGTGGTTCAGCACACTGCGAATCATGTACACTCTTATTCTATTCACATTATATAGGGAATAATGGAAGTCTTTATATGAATTTGGAAAGGGTATAAAAACAGGAATGGATGACATGGTATAAAACAAAGACTGTCATAGAAAATTCTTCTGGACACTGAATACTATTCCAGTATTAGTATACACTAAGTGAACATTATGAAGGCAAAGGATTATGATAAAATATTTATCTAGCAAGTATATACTTGCTATTTAAAACATTTGTAATACCAATCTCATATATTTGTTTGGCCACATTAAGAATTCACTTGAAATTATTTTCAAAATCTTTGATTGATTATTACTGCTATTTCCAGTCGATCCATATTGTTTCTAAAATTTCTGAAAAGTTCTTAACACACATGCAGTCATTCATGTACATGGAACTCGCATGAACTCTGTGCCTGTCTCAATCTCCTCTCTTGTCTCTCTTGTCTCAGTATCCATCTTCCTAACCTCTCTCTCAGCCTATTTGCATCATTTCACTGTATAATACTAATGAAATAATGTAAATAGCTATGCTCTTTATACCTATTAGGTATATATGAAAAATATAAAGATATAGGAACAATCAAATTGATTATAGAAACAAAACTGATAATGATACCAGAAGGATGACAATCTTTTTTATTTCATAAATACAAAATCAAATGTCAGTTAATATTTACATAATGTTCATTATTATAATTCTGTGCTAATAATGATTCTTGAATAGAATACAGTACTCCATTGGTGAATCACTTCTACTTTGTAGCAAAATCTGAGAGAAAATTCTTAAAACTAGTTTTTGTACAATACAGTGAAATTATGTTTGTTAATGTTCAAATACTCCTCTTTTAAATAACCAAATGCAGAAATAATGAACAAAACCAAAGATAAATATAAAATCATGGACTATATCTTGTAGTGGAAAAAATTATGCTTAACACATCTGGCGGTCAACATATATTAATATTCACTTTAAAAATATAATAGAAATGCTTTCTAAAGCAGATATGCTTATGGCAAATTGTCTCTCCACTTCATCAACTATGACATATAACTGAGAATGTTTCTTTCTATTCGGATGAATTTCTTGGTGTTATAAAATCAATATCACTCCCAAGTCCTTTATAAACAAGTTTTATGTCAGATCCATGGGTTGCTGTGGCTGGTTTAGGTCTGATTCTTGCTTGATCTCAGTCTTAATAGTGCCTTGGTTGGGCCCGGTCACAACCACGTACTTGGTTGTCTGTTGTGTGCTGCTTTGTGAAGTTAGGGCAGAAGTGGTGAGGGCATTTTGCGAGAGAGATCCTGCTGGAAGACTACTTGGATTGACAGTCACAGTGGTGAGTCCTGTACCTCCAGCATTGACAACAGCTGTTTTCACGACACCTCCCATTGTCTCAGTTGTGGCACTCTGAGAAGAATCAACAAATATTTTTACTACATATAATTACATACTTTATCATCTTCCAATATATCACAATATGACTTCATTGTAAAATAAGCATAACTATTTCAGAACATTGCTCAGATAGGTGAATAAAAGTATAACTGATGGAAAGTATACCTGGCTTGGTGTTGGAGGTCGAGAGGTCATAATGATCACTTTTTGTCCTGGTTGTTGTTGCCCAATGCCTGAGGTTGGGGGTTTGTTTACCACAACTGTACGAGGTCCTACACTACTCATCCCTGGCACTGTACCTGTGTGCACCAAGATATAGATTTATAAATCATTATCAGTAACAACTCATGTAAGAATTAAAGAAGTATCTAAATATGCATTCCATTGCAGAATCAGACTCTGAATACAGCTTTTGCCAACAAAGTTTAGGAAAGAGAGAGT